ACAGGTGCTTACAAACTTTAGACATGAAGAAGCCACTTTATCTGGTCATCTCTTATGGGGACAGTTGGGAGCACACACAGGCCAAAATAATTTTCCTGGCTTCTGCAGCAACCCACACCTGGCCACCATCTTCTCCCAGCCCCTCAGGTTACAGTCATGTTCTGGTTACAGGACAAGCGGGAGTCCCCAGACAACATAATATCTGGAAGCATCCTGCCAGAACAATTTCCAGCTCATGGCCTCCTCCCTGCATGCCCTGAGTTACTTCTGGAAATGGTAGATGCTGAGAGTGCAGAAACCCATTTGACCTACCCTACAGCAAACCTGGAGCCCACAGCAAAATAACTGCAGATCCATGGATTAGTAAAGGACAATAAGCCAAACTTTTGTGGGAAACACTGGACGTTCCACATCGCCCTTAAATGTTCATATTGCCCACGGGTCCTGCCATTTGACAGGAGAAAGACCACATGAGGTTCTGCTCTCATATTCACAAAAAACCTGAGTAACTCAGTCAGCTAAAACAATCCAGCTCCTCTGTTGTGTATGAGTTCAGGTTATAAAGCAATTTCTATTGAGCTCTAATTGCACAGATTCCACAGTGCTATTTTTCATGTTGTTCCTAATCAAGATGAACTCATTGGTTTTACTGCGTGCTTCATTTTCTTTTGTTTGTCAAACATGAGGAGAATATTTTCAACACTTCTGTGTTTCACAAATGGAAAACATATCTCTTCCTCCACTCTTAAGGCATTTGAAGCACCCCTTTTCTTGTCAAAACTAGGCACGGCTGACTGCTGCAACTTGAAATGGAGCATAAAAATATTTTGCCACGGGGACAAGAGCCTCCACTTGGCAAGAAAAACAGCAAACTGTTCTCAAAAGTGATGAGAAAACAGAGATTTGGAAACCCTACAGTCTGCACACATGAGAGAAGAAAATCTTGTTCCTGTGAAAACCATGCCTAACAATGGAACTGGACAAGAATGTAGGTCTGGGATGAGCAAATTTTCCATGTGTAGATGAGCTGGTTTTGGAGGCTGGCCATGGTGTCCTTCCTATTTAAGTTAAGTTCCTTGTCCCCTCGTTACAAAGCCCATTCTTCCACAGAAACAACTGAGAAGGTATGGGCTTTGTCAGTGCCTGCTCTTTTGCTCTCTGCTTTGTCGGTGTACCTGCTCTTTTCATGGGGCTTAACCTGGAGAAAATGAAGCAAAGTATTTGCCAATCCCACATTAATCCAGCTCTCCAGCGTATGATCAGAAGGTTTCTTTTTCCAAGCTTGAGAAAAGACACAAAAGACACTGACATACTTCTGCTTCCACAGAAACCAGTCCTGGCCTGCGCAAAGAAGTCGCAGTTTAATTAAACCAGTTCAAAAACTGATGCTGTTAAATTAATGCTAAGTCTGTGGGAGGATAGATGTTATTTTGATGAAGAGAACTTTGTGCTGTTTTAACTGAAGTGGTGAGGAAAGGATTTAAGCTAAGGCAATATACAGTGTACTTCAACTGATACGTGTCCAAAAAAGGCATTTGCATCAACATAATGAAACAGCGCAAGATTTTCATGTAGACAAGACTCAGAAGAAAATGTTACCATATTATATTTTGGGAATACTGTGAACATGCCTTGTTTTGCCTTTGTCTGCTGTCAACACCTCCTCCACTGCCTCCAGGGGTCTGCTCCCCACTGCCTGACAGTTTTATTAACTATCTCTTCCTGCCTTATTTGCCCTCAGGTACCAACTTGTTGGCAAGTTACACTTCTCTCTATCACCAAACCACTCCATTTGATGTAGCTCTCAAAACTGTAGCTTCCTGCAGTTCTGCTGAGTTAAAAGGTTCCTCTTTAGGTTGAAGAGTTCCTCTTCAAAAGAGTTCCTCTTCAAACTCAAGCTGAGGTTCCACAGGCTTTCCCCTATTTCCTCTATTTGTAACAGTAATGGTTACTACAGCTTCAGAGCCAGACTGGCTGAGGTGTCCTCAGAAATCAAAATATATTGCTTCAGGCTTCTTGTGTGTCCAATGCTGTGGAAATGTCAGAATGCGACTACTCCTTCAGGGAAGCCCAGCTCTCTCCAGAAGGTGACACAATGACAGAGCAGAAGTATAAAAAAGGCCATAAAGTGTTTTTAGCAGCTCTGTTTTCTTAGCCTGGCATGATATCCCAGCTCCTGTTCCATCGCTTGAGCCTACCAGTTTATGCTACAGAGTGGGGAAAGTGCTTGGAAAAGGTCAGTTCTTCCTGTTGCTGTTCTTGCTTCCTTCCCCCAGATGCCAGCACGCTCAGGCCAAGGCTGGGATGCAGATCCTGAGGAATTTTGGCTCCCCCATTGCACCCCAGCCACCACCACGGCTGGATCATGAGCTTTAGGAGGGGAACACAGGGGATCTCTGGTGATGAAGCACTAGGAGACACGACGAAATCGTGACATGCAGCCATTCTGAGGCCATCAGGGCCAACATACAAAATAGGTCAGACAGAGTTTGGTATTAGACTGGCTGAATGAAGAGAGCTGGCACTTGGCAGACATTTTAACAAAAGTCTTGCTCCGATGCTGTTGAATCGATGGCAAATCTCCCAATGAAAGTAGCCTCTGGCCACAGATGTGTAGTTAACAACCCAACTCTGTACATAGTGCTTCCTACCAGCTGCAGACAGCCCACGGTCCCCATCCACTGCTGCAGTCAAAAACGAGCTGGAGGTGCTGAGCACATTGAAGTGCTACCGGTCAGAGTAAATCCAAACTTGCTAAATTTTAGACAGTCTTTCTGTTTCCCCTGGGATATACAACATGCTGTAAGTAAGTGCTCGGTTAACAGAAGGGATAAAACAGATTTGATTTCTCTCCCCACGCATAAAAATGCTTAAAAGCAAAGTTTTGGAACATCTTTGAGAGAGAGCGGTGAGTTGAGGCAGGAAAAGTGGTTTCCTACACTTAGTGCAGAGGACAACAGAGAAAAGGAAATTGTGCCTTTAATTTAAGATTCAGACAATTCAGAAAATTGGTATGTCAGTGATAATTGCTAATTTCCTCAGATTGTATCTTTTGAGTAACCTACAAGAAAATTTTCATGCCTATTTATTTATTGCAAATGTAAGCCACCTTCTTTTTTTTTTTTTATTCTTATCCTTTTTAGGAAAAGAGACGAAGGAAGAAAGATTTCCACCTTCTCATTGTTACAAAATCTAAGGAATGCAACACGCAACTCAGTCTGATGAGCCATTATTGAAGAAATTCAAACGATCACACACAAGTTTAACTCTGCCCCCGTGTGTGCAAACATTAAAACACATCCTCCCACCCACTACCTGGAGCCCGCTCTGGTTTTGTGCAAAAGGTTGTATAGTTTGTATAATTAGCTAATTATACACGAGATCCATGATGACCATGTAGCTAGAGGACACCTTTTCCCTTCTACACTTACATTTCTCTCTCTGCATTATGAAACTCTCCTTTCTGAATGCACTGGCCACTAAGAAACAAGCAATAGAGATATGCCTGTTGCCTGTACTCATCAAACAAGGAGAAGTAAAAGTGCAAGGGTGACTCTGGAATTTTACCAGAGGGATGGTCCTGTTAAGATCATGAAAAAATAAGGGAATTCATTTTACTTTTTCGCTTTGTCACACATACCCTGTGTGAACTTCCCTGTTCTTCCCTGTGCCTCACTTCCCAGCCTCTGAAGCACAGACACCATCACCTTTGGAGGAGTTGAGGGGGCGTAAAAAGGAACTGCTTCTTCCTCTGTAAACTCACACTGAGGTTTCTCTAGCTGTCTCACTTCACCAGCACGCAGGGTGACAAGGCTCTGTCAAGGGGAGACCAGGCAGGCATGAGGAGATGATGCTCTGGCCAAAGGGCTTAACCCTTCTGCAGCCCACGGCTCACAGCTCACAGCCACACAGCCAGCAGCGATGGAGCAGCTCCATGCACTGAGAACAAAAGACCTTTGTCTCATGCCCTACCCCAGGACTCCTCTTTATTGACTCAGAATCACAGAATCACAGAATCTTCTAGGTTGGAAGGGACCTTAAAGATCATCTTGTCCAACCGTCAACCTAACTGACAAAAATAGACACCCACACAACAAACAAGGAGCATCATCACTAAACCATACCTCCCAGCACTACATCAACCCGTCTTTTGAACACCTCCAGGGATGGGGCCTCAACCACCTCCCTGGGCAGCCCATTCCAATGGCTGAGAACCCTTTCAGTGAAAAAATTTTTCCTAATATCCAGCCTGAACCTCCCCTGGCGCAACTTGAGGCCATTTCCTCTCGTCCTGTCGCCTGTGACTTGAGAAAAGAGACCGACCCCCACCTCTCTACACCCTCCTTTCAGGTAGTTGTAGAGAGCAATAAGGTCTCCCCTCAGCCTCCTTTTCTCCAGGCTTAATAACCCCAGCTCCCTCAGCCTCTCCTTGTAGGACTTGTGCTCCAGACCCCTCACCATCTTCTGGACCCACTCCAGCACCTCCATGTCTTTTTTATGGTAGGGGGCCCAAAACTGGACACAGTACTCAAGGTGAGGCCTCACCAGTGCCGAGTACAGGGGGACAATCACCTCTCGGGCCCTACTCCCCACGCTGTTCCTGATACAGGCCAGGATGCTGGTGGCTTTCTTGGCCACCTGGGCACACTGCTGGCTCATGTTCAGCCGACAGTCGACCAACACCCCCAGGTCCTTTTCTGCCCGGCAGCTCTCCAGCCACTCTGCCCCCAGCCTGTAGCGCTGCCTGGGGTTGTTGTGACCAAAGTACAGGACTTGGCACTTGGCCTTGTTGAACCTCATCCCGACTCATTTCAAGACACCTCCCCCGGCTTTACCGACGACAAACAGTGGGCCAAAGAGCCACTGAATGAAACAGGCCAGAAACTCCATCTGGTAACCAACGGGGCGACCTGCAACAGCGAGTTGCAACACCCCAGTGCGTATCACAAGTGAGATAGGCAGGAACGACCCACAGCACCGGGCACAGGGCGCCGCAGGAGCTGAACCCTGCACAAACACAAGCCAGCTGGGGGCACAGCCACCCTCCGTCCTTATCACTTGAAAAGGAACTTTACCGGGAGGAAAGGTACACAGGGAGCACAGCTGCACGCCCCAGGGGATTGATCACCTCCGCGATTTATAATTGATTTCAGCTTTCACATTAACCTGTGCGAGCAGAGTCTACGGAGAAAAAGCCGCAGCCTCGTTGGCCGGATATGGGAGGATCCAAAGCACCGGCGCCGCTCCAACACCTTCCCCTGCCCTGGCCAGCCACCACGCACTATTAAACAAGCCTGGCAAGAGGTGACTGCAGTGGGGCTGCCCAGACGGCGTGCAGGACCATGGCGACCTACGTGCAGCTGAACACCACGGCCAAGATGCCCCTTTTGGGACTGGGCACCTGGAAGGTAACGGCTTTGGGGAAAAGCACCAGGAATGCAGAGCTCCCTGGCACAAAACTCCTGTTCCTCCAGGTCTAGCTCCAGAGAGCTGTCCTCGTGTCTGGGGCTCTGCTCTACATGGCTGATGGGCTGAACCTGTGTGGGAGCAGGGCTACGGAGAAGTAGCTGGAGGTTGGCTTCAAGCCCTGAAGCCCATGTTTATGACTGCAAGAAATGCTCTTCTTGTAAAGAAAAAAAAACCTGGGGCAGAAGGGATTGCTTTCTGAAAGGTGGCTTTCCTATTTTATTTTTTTTTTTCTAGGATAAGGTATTTAACATGAACTGATTTGAGATTCTTAAGATTTATGCATTATTTTTAGTCCCCAGCTGGGCAAGTAACAGCTGCAGTGATGGCTGCCATCGATGCTGGGTACCGCCACTTTGACTGTGCCTACGTGTACCAGAACGAGAGTGAAGTTGGGGAAGGGATCCAGCAGAAAATCAAGGAAGGTGTTGTGAAACGAGAAGACCTCTTCATTGTCAGTAAGGTAAGGATCTAATGCTTTTCAACCCTGGAGGAGGGGTGGAAGAATGCTTCCTGCCAAAGGGGTGTCCCTGCTGCGTGAGGAAGATGAGGTTCTGGGCACCTGGGGATGGTGTAACCTGCTCAGCACCTGTCCTATGGAAGGTATGGTTGGTGGGTTCTCTTTCTCTTGCTTACGAAGGAAAACAGCATATTTACCTGGATTCCAAAGGTAATTTTTACAATTTTTACATTTTTGCCAATGAAGGTAATTTTTCCCAATTTTTACATTGGCAAAGGCAATGCCATCCACTTCTTTGTGGCTTGTCTTATATTTTCTTGGCTTTGCCTGCTAAATTTTTTACAGGGAAAGTACAAATGGTCAAATCTTGAACTAAGCCATCCTCTTCTACACAAGCCTGACCCTGGCAATAGAAGTTTTTACTACAGATCTATCTGATCCCGTGTACTTCCACTGCACATACCAAATCCAGTGTCGTGGGCCAGTCCCATCACAGAGCAATCCTCATCTGAAGAGCATCAGGATGGCCTCATTCCACTTTGCCTTCCAAAGGAGACAGAGCATTTCTGTCCTGTACAGGAGAGCACCCAAGGGCTTTAAACAGAGGTCACAGTGTGCCTTGGTTTTTTTGTCTCTAGCTGTGGTGCACATTTTACGAAAAGCCTCTGGTGAAGGGAGCCTGCCAGAAGACTCTTGCCGACCTGAAATTGGATTACCTGGATCTCTACCTCATGCACTGGCCTATTGGGTTCAAGGTACAGTAACAGCAATGCCCTTGGCTTTCCCTCCCCGGAGACCTCCTCAAAACTCTTGCAGCACTACTGTACTCCAGTCCAGAAAGAGCAGGTGTGTGTTGTGTGTACCAGCACTGCCCCAGCGCTGCTCTTTCAGCTTTGCTCTGGCCACGTGAGCCCGAATATTGATCTCTGCCCCTGAGACTGCTGCCTGCCCAGCGTCCTCTGCCCTTCTGATAGTGGGAGAGACAGACCTCACCAAGGTCAGGCCTCCCAGCTTCAAGCATAAGCTATGCCACTTTCCCTATCTTTTACAAATCCAAAGCATGCTCATCTCAAAACTACCCCTTGTGGGAAGGAGGGCTGTGCTTTGCTGCCTGACAGAAGCTCTTTCCTCTGCATGTTAGAGAATTGCAGAGTGAAAGAAAATGCTTCTGTTTTCCATTTCTCTCTTCAATCACCAAATTTAATACAGTCCAGATTGAGCTGACCCTGCCTGTAGGAGCCTTAGTGTTGTTTCACAGACCTTGGATTTCAAAAGATGAGGCTTTTCGATACATAACTTTTGCAGACTACATGTACTTCAAAGGATTTATGTCAGTTTGTATATATATATATAGATATACACACACACATATACCCTTCGCCTTTCCTTTCCTCTACACCCAGATCAAAATCTCTATTCTACCTAATGCCTTTGAGCTCAACTTCATTTCATTCTCTCAAGAGTGTTTTGGTTTGCTTTGTGTAGACAAAGCTGTCAAGTGAAACTGCATAATATTGTGGCATCTAGAAAATTCCAATCATTCAAAACATTTTGGCCATACTGTCTAGTCACAGGCTGTTCTAATTTTCCTAATACATTGAGCCTTCCCATGGGAAATCTTTTTCAGAGTACCTTTTTCACAGATGTCCTCCAGTATAAATGAGTACATTCACAGAACCAAAGTCAATCCTCCATATAGCTTTTTAAGAACTAAAGAGGCTGTAATTCTTAAACATGCATAATGGAACAATACATGAAGTGAATTCATGTAAGACTCCAGGATACTGTTCTATGAGTAAATTGCTTCCCTTCATGCACTTTGAGGATCATGACTTCAATGGGTCCAGCAGAAACACCTGCCTTTATTGGGATAGTTGGTGGCAAAAATGGTATGACACTGCATGAATTAAGAATAAGAAATGACTGAAGAGTTAAGTTACAATGAGATTTACTTGAATTTTAGCTTTAGCTCCTTACATTCCTGCTTGGTTCTTATGCATAGCTAGCATCCCAACAGAGATTATTTAAAGCATTTTGTCTCTCATTGACAGGCAGGAGATGAGCTGTTTCCCAAAGATGACAAAGGCATGGCCATACCTAGCAACGTTGATATTCTACAGACATGGGAGGTAAGTTCAACCACAGGAGGAGAGACGTGTCCTCTGTCCTCATCCGTCTCTTCCATGTTTTCATTTCCTTCAGCAGTCAAAGAACTGTTGTCTCATGCATGCAAAATTAGTTGGAAGGCACATAAGAAAGTACAAAGTAGCTTTTCATAACGTGCATGCTTAATTATTACCCAGTTATTCCTGTTCCCCGAGTGCCTCACTTGAGAGCCTGACCCACAGTGAGCTGCACAATCACTCTGAGGGGACCTGCAGACCAGACTGAGGTTAGAAAAAGTTCGTGGCTTGACCATAACCACTGTACAATTGTCTCCATCACAGCTGTGGCATCCTTCTTGAATTGCTCAAATAGATTTTACAGAAATAAAGACATCTTAGGTTGAGATCTTGCCTACAGCGTGGGGCACAGCCCTCCAGCACTTGCACAGCAGAAGATTACTGAGTGTTGTTTTTCCTTTTCCTCATCCAGCTTGGTGTGAATTTCCACAGATGCAGGGAATGAGAATTTGGGCTTGGGTGAGACTGCATTGAGGTATCAGTACCTGCTTAGCCCTCAGAGAACTCTGCAACTCTAAATAGCTGTTTTGTGCTGCTCATGACAGGAAATGAGCCACATCAGGAAGAACATCTTCATGATCTGTCTTGCATACCAGATAATGATACTGCTCTTCTTCCTGTTAGGCCATGGAAGAGCTGGTGGATGCTGGTCTGGTAAAAGCCATTGGAATCTCCAACTTTAACCATGAGCAGATTGAAAGAATCTTGAACAAACCAGGACTGAAGTACAAGCCTGCAAATAACCAGGTAAGATTATAAGTGACTGCAGGTGAATAGCTTCCAGGGATTACAAAGATCTGGTTACAGTTGAATAAGGAGATGGAGAAAGGGAGAATAAAGTAGACATAGCATGTACTCTACATCCTGCTCTGTGGATATTTCTGAGCACACAAGGGACTCAGGTACTTCCTTCTTTGTCTCACCTTGCTGAATCACTGTTTACAAATGTTGGAGTACCTCCTTGGAAACATTCTTTCTGGAAGAATAAAGAACCCAGAGATGACCTTTGTGAAATCCCCACAGCAAAAACTGTATAAGCACTTTGTATAAAAGTAGATGTCTTGAATACTAAGGGTGCATATTGTCACACAGGCCACTGGCAAATTAGGGGACTAGGCAGCCTCTAATTAGATTAGAATATAATCCCTGAAGCGCAACGATATTACAGCAGTGCTGCCACTATCAGCCTCTATGCCTCTGTGTTGGCAGGTTGAATGTCATCCCTACCTCACCCAGGAGGCTCTTTCCTCTGCATGTTAGAGAATTGCAGAGTGAAAGAAAATGCTTCTGTTTTCCATTTCTCTCTTCAATCACCAAATTTAATACAGTCCAGATTGAGCTGACCCTGCCTGTAGGAGCCTTAGTGTTGTTTCACAGACCTTGGATTTCAAAAGATGAGGCTTTTCGATACATAACTTTTGCAGACTACATGTACTTCAAAGGATTTATGTCAGTTTGTATATATATATATAGATATACACACACACATATACCCTTCGCCTTTCCTTTCCTCTACACCCAGATCAAAATCTCTATTCTACCTAATGCCTTTGAGCTCAACTTCATTTCATTCTCTCAAGAGTGTTTTGGTTTGCTTTGTGTAGACAAAGCTGTCAAGTGAAACTGCATAATATTGTGGCATCTAGAAAATTCCAATCATTCAAAACATTTTGGCCATACTGTCTAGTCACAGGCTGTTCTAATTTTCCTAATACATTGAGCCTTCCCATGGGAAATCTTTTTCAGAGTACCTTTTTCACAGATGTCCTCCAGTATAAATGAGTACATTCACAGAACCAAAGTCAATCCTCCATATAGCTTTTTAAGAACTAAAGAGGCTGTAATTCTTAAACATGCATAATGGAACAATACATGAAGTGAATTCATGTAAGACTCCAGGATACTGTTCTATGAGTAAATTGCTTCCCTTCATGCACTTTGAGGATCATGACTTCAATGGGTCCAGCAGAAACACCTGCCTTTATTGGGATAGTTGGTGGCAAAAATGGTATGACACTGCATGAATTAAGAATAAGAAATGACTGAAGAGTTAAGTTACAATGAGATTTACTTGAATTTTAGCTTTAGCTCCTTACATTCCTGCTTGGTTCTTATGCATAGCTAGCATCCCAACAGAGATTATTTAAAGCATTTTGTCTCTCATTGACAGGCAGGAGATGAGCTGTTTCCCAAAGATGACAAAGGCATGGCCATACCTAGCAACGTTGATATTCTACAGACATGGGAGGTAAGTTCAACCACAGGAGGAGAGACGTGTCCTCTGTCCTCATCCGTCTCTTCCATGTTTTCATTTCCTTCAGCAGTCAAAGAACTGTTGTCTCATGCATGCAAAATTAGTTGGAAGGCACATAAGAAAGTACAAAGTAGCTTTTCATAACGTGCATGCTTAATTATTACCCAGTTATTCCTGTTCCCCGAGTGCCTCACTTGAGAGCCTGACCCACAGTGAGCTGCACAATCACTCTGAGGGGACCTGCAGACCAGACTGAGGTTAGAAAAAGTTCGTGGCTTGACCATAACCACTGTACAATTGTCTCCATCACAGCTGTGGCATCCTTCTTGAATTGCTCAAATAGATTTTACAGAAATAAAGACATCTTAGGTTGAGATCTTGCCTACAGCGTGGGGCACAGCCCTCCAGCACTTGCACAGCAGAAGATTACTGAGTGTTGTTTTTCCTTTTCCTCATCCAGCTTGGTGTGAATTTCCACAGATGCAGGGAATGAGAATTTGGGCTTGGGTGAGACTGCATTGAGGTATCAGTACCTGCTTAGCCCTCAGAGAACTCTGCAACTCTAAATAGCTGTTTTGTGCTGCTCATGACAGGAAATGAGCCACATCAGGAAGAACATCTTCATGATCTGTCTTGCATACCAGATAATGATACTGCTCTTCTTCCTGTTAGGCCATGGAAGAGCTGGTGGATGCTGGTCTGGTAAAAGCCATTGGAATCTCCAACTTTACCCATGAGCAGATTGAAAGAATCTTGAACAAACCAGGACTGAAGTACAAGCCTGCAAATAACCAGGTAAGATTATAAGTGACTGCAGGTGAATAGCTTCCAGGGATTACAAAGATCTGGTTACAGTTGAATAAGGAGATGGAGAAAGGGAGAATAAAGTAGACATAGCATGTACTCTACATCCTGCTCTGTGGATATTTCTGAGCACACAAGGGACTCAGGTACTTCCTTCTTTGTCTCACCTTGCTGAATCACTGTTTACAAATGTTGGAGTACCTCCTTGGAAACATTCTTTCTGGAAGAATAAAGAACCCAGAGATGACCTTTGTGAAATCCCCACAGCAAAAACTGTATAAGCACTTTGTATAAAAGTAGATGTCTTGAATACTAAGGGTGCATATTGTCACACAGGCCACTGGCAAATTAGGGGACTAGGCAGCCTCTAATTAGATTAGAATATAATCCCTGAAGCGCAACGATATTACAGCAGTGCTGCCACTATCAGCCTCTATGCCTCTGTGTTGGCAGGTTGAATGTCATCCCTACCTCACCCAGGAGAAGCTGATCAAGTACTGTCAATCCAAAGGGATTGCTGTGACAGCGTACAGCCCCCTCGGCTCTCCTGACAGACCCTGGTGAGATTTGCTTTGCAATTTGCAAGGGAGCTGGCATGGATTATGTTTGTAACACCGAGGCTACAAACGCACTATTGTTCATTCATCTACACACAGAACTCTGTTGCTGGGCTGGATCTTTCTCTGGAGGTTTCTTGCCACTGATTTCTTTTCTCTGTGTAGGGCTAAACCAGAGGATCCTTCCCTTCTGGATGACCCCAAGATCAAAGAGATTGCAGCCAAGCACAACAAAACCCCAGCACAGGTATGTAGGTACCCTTTCTTGTAACACAGCCATAAAGGAAAATAGAGTTGAGGAGCAGGCAGAACCTCCATCCATTCCCCATGAGTGGCACTCCTTTGATTTTTCCCTAAAAAATTTAGGTTTCTTATTACATGGCCTGCAGACATGCTACTATTATTTCTTGGGCCCTCAAAAGGATTCTTGATCCATCTTCAGATGCAAAGAATGAAAGCCTTTCATAGACAGAAATGACTGTCCCAAAACTCAGTGGGAAAGGAGGCCTTCCATGTGGGTCTCACCACTTCTCTCTTCACCCTTCAGGAACTCTTTCCTCGGCTACAGGGACAGGAATGATTTTAATTGTAGCTCCACAGAACGGGTTAAGTGCTACTGAAATACACACTTGATGGCAAACAGCTGTTAAAACCAGCTCTGCTTCCTCCAGAGCAGGAGTCACCCTCTCTCTGACTCAGGGGTCTGTTCTTGCAGGTTCTCCTTCGCTTCCAGATCCAGAGAAATGTGATTGCGATTCCCAAGTCTGTCACACCACAGCGCATCGTGGAGAACTCCAAGGTGAGTGATTACGAGTGAGCTGGGGGCATGGCATGGTCAGGGCTGGCATGTCTTCACTCTGCAGAGCAAGCAGTCATCCTTTTTTACCCTTCCCAAATCCTCCGCAGACAAGAGGATTGGCCTTTTTCCTTCTTTATGCTTGCCTACACTCTGCTGGGGAGTAATCATAAAACGGTTTGGGTTGGAAGGGACCTTAAAGATGATCTAGTTCCAACCCCCCTGCCATGGGCAGGGACACCTCCCACTAGAGCAGGTTGCTCAAAGTACTCATCCAACATGGTCTTGAACACTTCCAGGGATGGGGCATCCACCACTTCTCTGGACAAGCTATTCCAGTGTCTCACCACCCTCAGAGGAAAGAATTTCTTCCAAATATCTAATCTTATCTCCCTTCTTTCAGTTTAAAACCATTACCCCTCATCCTGTCACTGCGCTCCCTGATAAAGAGTCCCTCCCCATCTCTCCTGTAGCCCCTTTAGGTAATGGGAGGCTGCTATAATGTCTCCCCAGAGCCTTCTCTTCTCCAGGCTGAACAACCCCAACTCTCTCAGCCAGTTTTCATAGGAGAGGTGCTCCAGCCCTCTGATCATCTTCGTGGCCCTCCTCTGGACCCATTCCAAGAGGTCCATACCCTTCTTGTGTTAAGGACTCCAAAGCTGGACACAGTACTTCGGTTGAGGTCTCATGAATGCAGAGTAGAGGGGCAGAATCACATCCCTTGATCTGCTGGCCACACTTCTTTTGATGCAGCCAGGATGCAGTTGGCTTTTCAGGCTGCAAGAGCACATCGCTGGCTCATTAAGCTTCTCATCTTCCAACACCTCCAAGTCCTTCTCCTCAGGACTGCTCTCAATCCATTCTCTGCTTGGGATCGCCCTGTATTTGTGCTTGGGATCACCCTGACCCAGGTGCAGGACCTTGCACTTGGCTTGGTTGAACTTCATGAGGTTGGTATGGGCCCGCCTCTCAAGCCCGTCCAGGTCCCTCAGGATGGTTAAGCCAGGCTGGCTTTTGGAGAGGACAGATTAAGAGGTTTTACACGATATTTCCTCTTCTGTGGCTTGTGGATGAATCAGCAGGCACAGCTTGCTGGGAGCCCACACATGGTAACATGCCAGAAAAGACACGTATAGAATAAGCAATGTTCATAAAATAGATCTTGTGTCCATAAAATAAATTGTTCCTCTATCTGTTAATTCAGTGGACCATGACTGAAAATGGACCCTCCAGGATGGAACTGCTCTCTAATCTTATCTTTCTTCACACTGTTGGATTTTTCAAAGAGATGATTTCCAGCTGTTTCTCTTCCTAGGTCTTTGACTTTGAATTGACTAAAGAAGAGATGGCAACCATCCTCAGCTTTAACAGAAACTGGAGGATCTGTGCAATGACCATGTAAGTGACACCGCTTGTTTCCTTTCAACTCTTAAATTTTGAATATTCTTTACCAGGAATTTTGTGTCCCAGCTACTAGGTAGCATGAAAGTCAGTTTATTTAAAAATCATGCCAACTCAAAATTCCAACTGGTGTCCCAAAAATACTTGTTCAGGAGAGGGTTTAATATTTTCATTTTAGAAACACAAGAAAAAAAGAAAGAAAACAAATTACATTCTTATTTTGAATTCCATTTCCAGGAAACTCTCTGTAACTTGAATTACAAAAAAAAGGGTTCTGGATGTTCATTTCATCTTTTTCTGCATTAGAGAAATAAGGACACTTATGTCCACATATTCTTCCTGTAATTACATGAAGCAGACCTTCCCTTGGTGGCTCATCCATGCACCCAATGCTCCTCTGCATAATGTTTAGATCACCCATGAAAATAACATTCCCTCTTTGATCTATTTCAGCTCCCAAACTCACAAGGACTACCCTTTCCATGCAGAATACTGAAGATGCCTATACCACAGCCTTCACTAGACCACTGGTGCCTCATGTCCCTCTGCTCTAACTTTGAGCTGTCTATTATCTCGTTTTCTTACTCCATATGTCTTGCTGCTGCCAGTAAAGATACTGGATGTTTATCCCATGAAATTTGTTTGAATTCTGGTTTTGGAAGAAGGAAAGAGTATTTTCTATAGAACAAAACATGGGATGTAATAATTTTCTGCTTATTAGAAGAGAGGATGACTACTGAAGAGCCTAGGCAGAGCTGCTAAGCAGAAAACAGGGTGAGTTTGTACCACCATGCAGTTATTGCCTTTAGTCTTGCATCAGCAGAAACCAGATGTTGACAAACCACAAAAAAAACCCCAAAACTCATGCATCCACAGTTTCTTTAGAAGTGTCCCATATTTTAAATAAAATTAATTTTAAAATGCAAAGTCTTGGCTGAAAGTCTTCTGTCTGGCATAGGGAAAACCCAAAACCCTCCTACACAGAGATGCACAGAGAGGTCTGCTGCAGTCACCTGCACTTTGGGGACACGGCTTCCCCCTGGGACAACAAAGTCACTCCATGGGGACACCAGAGGGCAGCCAGCACTCAGAGGAGACCCATGTTGCCCCCTCCCTGCCGGCCACCAGCCCCTGAGCTCAGGTCACAGCCCCTAGGCATGCCGGGGTTGGCATTTCACATGCTACACAACCCAGTTGTGCTGTACCCAAACACCTTAGAGCCTTCTCCCCCAAATTTCTACTTTTAATTCACAAAGATATAGTCCAAGATGATATGTTTCTCAGCTTCCTGAAGGAAGCAGCCCATAAAGCCCTCAGCAACCTCCAGGCAGAGGTGAGACATCCATCCTGTGAAACAATCCACCACGTTATTGAATCCAGTAAAGGTTTACTTTGGTGCGAGAGCCAAAGGTTTAGGGAAGTTCTACAACTCTTCACAACCATCCTCTTTCCCTTGGAAAGCTCCTGCTCAACCACTTGCTCTAACTTGCCATGGAGCCACCATTGTGGGCACAGTCACACAAATCCATCCAGATGCTCCATGGTTAAGGGTAGCACTTAGGGCCCCATCCCACCCACACCAAAGAGCTTTCCAGCATCCACTCGAAGGGTCTCTCCTCTCACACTGGGGCACAGGCAGCAACCTACTGAAAGAAAAGAGACATCAGAGGGGTTCTGGGTGTGCCACAGACAGTAATGGTACGTGCTCATAGTTTTGTTTCTGGAGTTTCATTTTATGTACACAGTTCACTCAGCTCATCAGATGAATAGCCAAACGCCAGAATTATCAGACTAAAGTCTTCAACAAAACTCTTGAGGAGACACAGAGATGGTTATGGGACCTCAGAGGATGCTCATGGCTTGAGATGAACTCAATGTAAGAAAGAGGCCAAGGTCTTAGAATTGGATTAAACCTTTATCCTCCTGTTTGCTTTCCTGCCTTGACAAGCATCTGGAATTTGAATCAATGCACACCATTTAACAAGATAAACATCGTGTTTCAATAAACTGCTTTTCCAAAGGCCCTACCATCATCTGACAACCCCAGCCACACACCTTCAAGACAGAGAAACAACTGACAGTTCCTATGTCTTGGCACCATCTGGGGAAAGTCTCACACCAACAGGCACAAACAGCAAAGCAAAATGCAAACCCTCTGCCCCAAATCCTCTGTTAAAAGACCAAGACATCTCTCATTCAAGAAACCGTCAGGGAAGACCAAGCACCCACCTTCACAAGAAGAACATGAGTTCACAGAGGAAGCAATACAAAAATCTCAGAAGAAAATGAGAGGAAGGACAAATTGTATCTCTCAGCCATGCTCTCCACCAAGTGGCATTATCTGTCATCACACACTCTACCCAGCTCCTTGCCACGGGAACACAAAGCTATGAAACTTCTCCCCAAAATGACATGCTCAGAAGAATGAGAACAAATATTGCAGGCTCTTCTCCTCCTTCTCATTAGAAATCCAATCTTACTGGCCAAACAGCCGGGCTTTGCAAGCTTTCACAGCCTTGCAGATCACAGCCCTCTGATGGCACCAGTTCACCTTGGTACTGCTCCAGTACAAAATCTGACTGATTCTGGCAGTTCCTACACCAAGACTTGAACTCCAGTCACCACTGATTGTTTCTGAATGTGACAGTGTTGACACTAATACATCATCAGCACAGCACCACAACTTGAGTGCCTTGGGAATACAGGTGCCTCATCTACTCTCTAGACTCTCTTGAGAAAATATATCACAGGGAAGGCAAAATGTGTCATTTTGCATTTTTGACTGATTTCTCTGAACAATGAACCAGCCCCTAAGAAGCTGAGGACACTCAGAGCACATCTATGAAGAAGGAATCTCAGAAAAGGATGAAAGATAAGCCCTGAGTTGTATAACTGTTACGTGATTCAACCGAAACACCGTATCCTGCTGAGGACAGCCGATGGCGCTGCCACAAAACAGGAGGAAGATTAAAGAGAAAAACTAATTATCTTGACTGCCTTCAGTTAAATGAAGCAAAAAGAGCCTTGGCATCCGCTGTGGGAGAGGCACTCAGAGAAAAACACACCATTATACATAATCCCGACTTATGCTTATACCTGAATCAATTCTCTAAGTATGAGCAAAGAGCAAAGCCTCCCAAGCAGCCTTAAAATACCATTATGGAGTACTTACAGGATTCTGCCCATAAATCAGGTTTCTGTCAGTGTACCTGTGACCACCCCATCGGTACAGCATATTTTGCCTCTTCAAAATTTCAAAGTCAGTTTCTAATGTGAAATTAAAGGTCACCTACCGTTTATGTCTACACTTGTATATTTCATTCTAAAATACGGTCTGCACTTCCCCAAAGGCAGAGGGACAACGTGATCATTGTGGCACTCACTGAAAACTCACGGCTTTGAAAGCACACTAAAAAAATACTTTCTCCCAACATTTAAAACGGCGTGGTTTATACTCATCATTTTCTAAATTACTCATAGACTCACTCACCCCAAAGTGAAAGCTGCGTTTGTCCCACCTGGAGAGGGGAACGGGGCGCTCCCCACTCTCACAAGCCAGCCACACCGAGGTTTCTCTAGCCATCTCTCTCCATCAGCGAGCAGGGTGACAAGGCTCCTAGGACCAGCCCGGGCCACCATCACTGCTGTGGGGACACACCGCTCTGGTCCAAGGCCTCAACCCTTCCACGGCCCATGGCTCCCAGCCCACAGCCAGGCAGGGATGGAGCAGCTCCGTGCGCTGACAGACCTCTGCCTCACGCCCTGCCTCGGGGACTCCTCTTTATTGATTCATTTCAGGTCACCCTCCGGGCTTTACCGATGACAAACCGTGAGCCAAAGTGCCACCGGTGGCCATCACCACACGAGCCGAGCCTCAGCAGAAAGCCCGCCTGAGCTGGGGCCGACCTGCCCCGGGGGGGGAACCGCTGTGAGGCCCACTGGGCCCCAGCCCGCCCGTTACGGCCTAGTCCTCTGCCGTAGGCCCCGGGCGGACGGCTCCTCCGTCCACCACGGCGGCTGCCCGGTGCCTGGCCTCAGCAATCGGGCACGCCGCGGAAACGCCGCTCTCCAAGTCTCACACCGGCCCGAGGGGGATCGGGAAGCGGCGTGAGGGGCAGCCCCGGGCACCCCCCGCAGGCAGGTGGTTCCCCCCACCCCCTACCTTACCATGGCAACCGGCCGGGACCCCCATTGGTTACCCCGCTGCCACGGGGGCAGGACTTGAGCGTTGATTGGCTATGAAGGAGAGAAAAGCCGAGCCGCTACCAATAGGCGGGGTCAGAGGGGGGAGCGCCCACCCCCGGGAAGGGCCTGTACCGCCAGCCCCGGGGCGGACCGGGCCGCTGTGGGCGGGCGGCGCGTTGCGGAGCGGGGCCATGGCGACCTACGTGCGGCTGGGAGCCGCCGCCAAGGTGCCCCTGCTGGGGCTGGGCACATGGAAGGTAACCGTGGCGAGCCCTCCCGCAGCGCGGCCCGGGGGGGGACGCCGCCATGACGCGGCCTCTCGCTCCCTTCACCGGGGGGTCCCTCCCTGTCCGCAGCCCGAGCTCCCCGCACCGCTGAGGGACGCGGGTCGCCGGGGCCCTTCCGCGGGGCTGAGCCACCCCTAGACGCGGCTGGCAGCTGCCCAGGGCTTCTCCTCCGAGGGGGGAGGCCTCGGCCCGGCTCTGGAGAACGGCCTCGCTGCTGCGGCCTCGTCTGGGCCAAGGTGTTGGGCTGAGCCCTGCCTGGGAGTGGAGCGGGGTGGCAGGAGGTGTCACTTCAGGAGCCTGTGCTCGACATGCAGCCAGACCTAAGAAAGCCTCGTGAAAACACTCCTATGAAAGCCCCCTCTGGGTGTTTATCTACCCAGGGGGTAGTATGTCGAGAAACCCCCAAATTAAGATATATCATACCTTTCTCCCCCCACAGTCCCCCCCGGGTAAGGTGGAAGCTGCAGTGATGGCTGCCATCGATGCTGGGTACCGCCACTTTGACTGTGCCTACGTGTACCAGAACGAGAAGGAAGTTGGGGATGGGATCCAGCAGAAAATCAAGGAAGGCGTTGTGAAACGAGAGGACCTCTTCATCGTCAGTAAGGTAAGGGTCAGATAGTCTCGGATCGTGGACAGACCTGCTTTACTTGTGATGTTTTTACAATAGGAAGCTCGAGTGGTTTTATGCTGTAGCACTGGAGGCACTCAAAATATAAATGAGCTCACTCCTGATAATACTTTCTTGTTTCACTTCATCAGGACAGTGATAAGTTTGATTCCTTCCTGCCCACTGGTAGCAATTTTTGTTGGTGTGACCATTGGATAGGAAGAGAGCTTTGAGCAGGAAGAACAATCACCCTTACTCTGTCTGGTGGCAGCCTTCTTCCCCAGTCAATCCAATAACACCAAAGGAAGTCAATGTTCTGATTTTCCCCCCCCAAAAAAAAATCTAATGAGAGCTTGAGCACCAGAGCCGTGCTATGGCCTGGCACTCTGCTGAGGAGACCCAGAAGTGCTGGGAGATGGACAAGGAGGAACCTGGCCCTGTACCTCATACCTGCAGACCAGCTGTTGCAGAAGAAGGGAAGTGGGAAAAGTAGAGTGGGCCAGGCAGCACCAAGCAAGGTAGAAACCTGTGATGCAGAGGTCTCAGATCACTCGGTGTAAAGGACTGACACAGAGACAGAACTGGTTTGTGATGAGCCTGGCAGTGGCTGGTGCTTGTTCCAGCAGCTGGGGTCACAGTCCTGCCAAAGGGGTGTCCCTGCTGCATGAGGAAGATGAGGTTCTGGGCACCTGGGGACAGTGTAACCTGCTCAGCACCTGTCCCACAGAAGGTGTGATTGGTGGGGTTGCTTTCTCTTGCTTATTAAGAAAAAGGGGCTATTTAGCTAGTTTGTGAAGTTATTTTTTATCTTGATAAAGGCTGGTGCCAAGAATTTCTTTGTAGCTTTTTTTGTATTTCAATGCAGGAGTTTTATGTGTGGTCAGGAACGACAGATACATGTCTTCGTTTAAAAGGCATCTATTGCAAAGGCAGATATAAATGATGTTCTAAGGAACAGAACCAGAGGGCTTTGTCTGTTATGATATTGCTCAAACACATGTGCTGATACTGCAACACTCCCCTCAGTGTCATGGGCCGGTCCCATCACAGAGCAATCCCCATCTGAAAAGCATCAGGATGGCCTCATTCCACATTGCCTTCCAAAGGAGGGGGAGCATTTCTGACCTGTGCAGGAGAGCACCCAAGAGCTTTACCCCAAGGAGGTCACAGTGTGTCTTGTTTTTTTTTTCTCTAGTTGTGGTGTACGTTTCATGACAAACCTCTGGTGAAGGGAGCCTGCCAGAAGACTCTTGCTGACCTGAAACTGGATTACTTGGATCTCTACCTTGTGCACTGGCCTTTTGGTTTCAAGGTACAGTAGCAGCAATGCCCTTGGATTTGTTTCTTTTGACTATGGCTTTTGGGGAACTATATGGCTTTACAGCACAACAATTGCTGTGGCTGAAAAAGGCAATCACGTGTCTGGTGTGTGTACGAGCACTGATCTGGTGCTCAGTTTTACTGTGGCTGTGTGAGCCAGGCTCTTGATCTTTGCCCCTGCAACTGCTGCTCACATACCCCTTTGATCCTGGGAATGATGGTCTGAAAATTATGGGCAATCAGCCAGCTGCAGGTGTAAGACAGGCTGCTGTCCCTTTCTCTATCAAATCAGTGTACGCTTATTGCAGAATTACCCCTTGTGGGAAGCAGGGCTATACTTTGCTGCCTGACAAATTTTCCTTTGTGTGTTACAGAATCACAGAGCAAGATAAAACATTTCTGTTTTCTATTTCTCTCTTTAACTACCAAGTCATTCATACAGTACAGATTGAGCTGACCTTGCTTGTAGGAGCCTTAGTGTTGTTCCACTGAGACAAGAACTCAAAAGGTGAAACTTCTTGGGGGGCCTGCACTCTTTCACAGTTTAGTGAAGGAGTTGATGTCTGAGTATTTCTAGTCTTAGCCTTTCCTTCCTGCTACAGTCTGATCAGTCTCCATCCTACCTGTTGCTTCTGAGATGCTTATCTTTATTTTATTATCTATTTTAGCTTTATGTTAAAAAAGCTGTGAAAATGAAACTGCCAAAACCTGACAGTAGCAAACAGCTGTTAAACACAGTTCTGTCTTGGTATCTTTTCAGAACTCGTACACAAAATCTTTTCTAATTTTCTTAGCACTAGCAGCTTTGGACTGAGCTTTGTCATGGAAGAACTGTCACTGCCCACAATACCTCTTTTCATCAGATCTGGTGTTGTATGTGCCCAAAGCTAAGTCCCATGATGTCCTTCTGGAAAAAGAACAAACCCATTCTTCCTAAGTGGGCACAAAAGAAGGATAGATGAAGTGAACAGGTGTGAGACTGGAGGCTATAGTTCTGAGTGGTGTGTTTCCCTGTAGATGTTTGGGTGAGTCGTCACTTTGAGGAGTCCAGCAGAAAAATCTTGTCTTTATGGGAATGGTCACGGACAAAAATACCTTCAATTCCTCCCGCTCCGCTCCTCAGGAAGGAATGACTGAATATAGACATGAATTAGTGTTTTTGTCTGCACTAGAAGTTTAAGCTCTCATGGTAGCGAGTTCTTATGGTATTAAGTGAACTTCTCAACAGATTTTTCAAGCATTTTCTTTCTCACTGACAGGCAGGAGAAGAACTATTTCCCACAGATGACAAAGGCATGTCAATACCCAGCAACACAGATATCCTGCATACGTGGGAGGTAAGCTCAGCCACAGTGGAAGAATCATGTCTTCTGTCCTCAGCAGCCACAGAACAGCTCATGCATGTATGCCAAATTAGCTGGAAAGAATCCACACAAGTATGTGCTAGCTCTTAAAAATGTGCATGCTTAGGCAAGCTACTATTCCTGGTCACTGTGGATTAGCATCTCAAGTCACTGAGCTGCACAGTGGAGCTGGGGATGAGACCGAGGGTAGAAAAAGTTATTTTCTTGACCATAACTGTACAATTTTTCTTCACCACAGTTCTCATGCAGTTTCTGAACTGCTCAAACAGATTTTGCAGAAATAGACACTTAGGTTGGGATCCAGCTATCTTCATGGGGCATAGCCCTCTAGTTCTGTCACAGTAGCAAACTTAGAATTGTCTTTTCCTCGTGTAACTTGATGAATTTGAGTCTTAACAATGTTTTTGGGCTTTGGTGTGGTAAGAAGACATGGCACAGATATTACCAGTACCCATTTTCCCCTTGAGAATCACAAACTTGACAAGTCCAAAGAGGTATTTTGTGCTTCCCATGAAGGGAAACAAGCCACCTCAGGAAGAATGTTTTCAGATCGTGTCTTGTACACTGGATGCTGACTTGGCTTGTCTTCTTGTTAGGCCATGGAAGAGCTGGTGGATGCTGGTCTGGTAAAAGCCATTGGCATCTCCAACTTCAACCGTGAGCAGACTGAAAGAATCTTGAACAAGCCAGGACTGAAGTACAAGCCTGCAAATAACCAGGTAAGATGCTCAGTGACTGCAGGTGAATAGTTTCCAGGGATTACAAAGATCTGGTTACAGTTGAATGAGGAGATGGAAAAAGGGAGAACAAAGTAGATGCAGCATATACTTAAAATCCCTCTCTGTAAATATTTCTTGGTACAAAAAGGAATGGAATATTTCCTTTTAGTCTCACCTTGAACCACTGTTTACAAATTCTGGAGTATTTCCCTATGAAGCAGTCTCTCTCCAGGGATAAAGAATCCAGGCATGAGCTATGATTCTGACTGTAGTTAATGACTTTTATGAAGCTTCTCAGAACACAATTCAAAAAAAGGACTCAATATAAAAGTTGGTGCCCTACAGAATTACAGTCTTGCATTGTCACACAGACCACATGCAGGGTAGGATCAATGCAACTTGTAATTAAGAAATTAAGATTCAGAAGAAAATCTCTGGGAACACTATGGTAGTTCTACACAGTCTCTACTCCTGTGTTGGCAGATCGAGTGTCATCCATACCTTTCCCAGGAAAAGCTTATCAACTATTGCCAATCCAAAGGGATCACTGTGACAGCATATTGTCCCCTTGGGCGCCCTGACAGGTAATTTCCAAGTGGATTAGTGTGGTTTAAGTTTGAAGCATTCAGACTAATTGAATAAGTAATGGTGCAGGTGTATGTACATAATTCTTTTTAAAAAATATTCATACTAGATACAATATTTCTGCAGAGATTTTTTTTTGCCATTTCTTCCCTTTTGTCTCTGTAGGGCTAAACCAGATGAGCCTTCCCTTCTGGATGACCCTAAGATCAAAGAGATTGCAGCCAAGCACAACAAAACCCCAGCACAGGTACGTAGAGGCCAGACAGTGGGTACCCCTTCCTGTAATAGGGCCATTAAGGAAAACATGCCTGAAGAGAGAGTACAGCCTCTGACCATGGTCCCTGTGAACCGTGATGCAGGCTGTTATGTGGCCTGTAATATGTACTTGAAGCTCTTTGGCTTTCAGCTAGAAGGTGAAGGTTCTTGACCCATCTTCAGATGTTGCTTCCTCTCTCAAGTCCTCTAGCAAAGAAGGAAAGCCTTGTGTTGGCTGCTGAGAGTCCAGCTGGAAAGATAAGGAATTGACTGTCCCAAAGCTGGATGGAAAGAAGGCCTTCCATGTGGGCCTGCATTGCTTTCCTCTTTGCTCTTCAGGAAGTGCTGCCTAGGCCAAAGGGACAGGAGTGATTTGAAATGCAGCTCTGCAGAAGCAGGTGTAGCTTAGGGAAAACAGCTATTGGAATAGGCTCTGCTTCCTCCAGAGCAGGAGTCACCCTCTCTCTGACTCAGGGGTCTGTTCTTGCAGGTTCTCCTTCGCTTCCAGATCCAGAGAAATGTGATCGCGATTCCCAAGTCCGTCACACCACAGCGCATCGTGGAGAACTCCAAGGTGAGTGGTTACCAGTGAGCTGGGGGCATGGCATGGTCAGGGCCGGCATGTCTTCCCTCTGCAGAGAAAGCAGTGATCTTTTTTTGTCCCTCCTCGGGGGGGAGGACTGGGCTTTTTCTGTCTGGCTACAGACAGGCTACTTTTCTGTAGGGCTACAATGAAAATTGCAGTCACTTACGTTGTGTTTCCTGTTCTGTGACTTGTGGATGAAGTGGCAGGCAAGGCTTGCTTTGAATCCAAATGCAGTAACATCCCTCAAAACACAGAGTATGTGATGTTAAGGGAAGAGTCCTGGTGTCAATAAACCACATTGCTCCTCTGCCTGTCAAGTCAGGGATTTTTTTCTTGATATTGGACATCAGGATTTCAGGAGTAACATAGCTGGATTTATTGAAATATGAAGGGTTCCAGATGTTTCTTTGGAATTTGAGAGAAATGCATCTTCCACAAACAGAGGTGTTCTGCAACACTAAATGCTCACCAAACACTTTGGAAAAGCTGGTGCATGTAACTGCAACCGGTGATCTTTTTTGTTTTTTTCCCTCTGCCAATAAGGTCTTGAAAATCCAAAGAGACTTCTCTTCCTTTCCCTGTCTCATAAAGCCATCAATTCTAACCAGCACTCCTGATGTCAACTTGTTTTTTAATCTTGTGAATCTTTCTTCTGATTTGATTTGTTCAAAGAGGTGATTTTTTCCAGCTGGTTTTCTTTTTAGGTGTTTGACTTTGAACTGACTAAAGAGGAGATGTCAACCCTTCTCAGCTTAAACAGAAACTGGAGGATCTGTGAAATGGTCACGTAAGTGACAGCTTGTTTCCTTCAAACTCTTTATTTTCAATAATCTTTATTCTAATCTCACGGGTACTGGTATAGCTATTTAAAATTAGTATGTTTTGAAATCTGAAATTTGAGGGTTGAAGCACCTGTTATTTAACATCTTAGTGGAGTTATATTTTCACTCTATTATTGACTAAAGGATAAGTCACACTATGTACTTATGGCCAGTCTTTCTCTGTGGAACTTTGTGTGTCTGGAACTCGAAAAGGAGGCTTCTAGTTGATAACATTGGCCTTCTCCATATTGGAGAAATTAATATTAGGCAGTATTAAACTTATGGTATTTTTTCTGAGTTACTATAAACTGATGTCACATCTTAGGTGACTGGGGGAGGGAATGACCATCTGAAGTGCGGTATGAAAAACCACTGCTTGCAGTTGTGCATCTAGGAAACCTATAGCCAGACAAGTGTTGGCTGAATGGCCACAAACTTTTTTTTTTCCTGTAAGCAGTGTGATCTTCAACTCTTTATCTAGAAAGTAAGTTGGTCCCCTCACTGCTCAGTGTGTCAATAATAGGAAAAGACTTGAACCTGTTGGTCACGTGTGCCACTTCTGTACCAAAAAGTCTCTTAAACTCATTCTGCAGTTACACAATTCGTAGCCTCCCTTGAAGGCTCCTTTATACACCCAGTATAGTTCTATATAGCATTTATTTCAACCTTGAGACTAATCTTTCCTCTTTGATGTCCTTCAGGTGCAAGAATCACAAGGAGTACCCCTTCAATGCAGAATACTGAAGACCATTTTATCCTGCCCTACTGCAGGCAGGTTCGGGTTTTGACAGAATTTAAATGAAAAGAATTTTAACTTCTTTCATGATGTTCTCCATAAAAGAGTTCAGATCTGGGGTTAGAGGGACACAATAAACTATACAGTATAATTTGGTGGATCAATCCAGTGAGAGACTGTATTCACAAGTCAGGTATTACCACAGATAGTTTTTGAATAGCATGTTATGGATGTACTGCCTGACAGATTATCTGTTACACACAGAGAGAAGACGGTACCAAAGACTATTCCCCTTTAAAATCTATTTTCTTAATAAGGACAAATGGAAAAACAGGCAAATTGAAGGGATAAAATGAGTTTTTGAGTAACTTGTAACAAAAAGTTTTCTAGAAACATTGAAGTAGTTCCTTGCTGATAGTGACAGGCTTTAACAGGCTAAAAGAAATCTTCATTTTAAAAACGATCTGTAAAATATAATAAAACGACCATAAGGTGTCACTAGAACCCAAGCAACTTGCAAATAAATTGCATTCTAGAAATGTTCTTATCCAGCTACAAGGCTTTTGTTATACTCCTTTCTGAAAGTAAAAAAGGACCTATTTTTAAATAGCGTAGAGAATTCCTGTATGTACAGAAATCACCATATTCAATACATTGGCTTTATTTTTTCCTTTTATTTTGTTTTTTCTGGTAGGTGTACTGGTAGGTGTCTCGCTGTTTGACTGGGTACACAATCAGGATTGATTTGACAGCGAACACATCCCAGGTGGACGGCAAATTGGGTATAACTTTTAAGGGAGTTCTTTTGACTCATAGCATACGGTCTTGTTATCTTCTCTACATAAAGCATACTAGGTTTTGGTTATAAATGCAGTTTCCTATTTTCTGTCCTTTACAGTCCCAGACAGGTGTACATACAAGGTACACCAAGGTTTGGGAACTTACCCGTCCCTTTCTAGTGGATACCACACACTGACAGCAGTTATTTCCCAGAGCCAGTCACCCCAGTGACCCCAGTGACACAGCACCTCATTGTCCCCCTACTAGGTTTTGGTTATAAATGCAGTTTCCTATTTTCTGTCCTTTACAGTCCCAGACAGGTGTACATACAAGGTACACCAAGGTTTGGGAACTTACCCGTCCCTTTCTAGTGGATACCACACACTGACAGCAGTTATTTCCCAGAGCCAGTCACCCCAGTGACCCCAGTGACACAGCACCTCATTGTCCCCCTCCCTTGGTGGCACCTCTCACGCCTGGGAACACCCTGGGCACTGCCCCTTTGTCGCAGTCAGGGACAATAAATCAAATAGGTGTGAGCTGTGTCCTGTGCCTGGGGTGGGGACGGGACAGAACGGGCACAGTGGGTCCCTGGGGGAGCAGTGGGGTGTGCAGGGATGAAGGGGGTCACCTGGACACCCGGGTCCCTTGGCCACCTGTGTCCCCATGGGGCAGTGGGGAGGGGGGCACAAGCACCCTTCTGGTCCCCCCCACCAAACTCTTGCACAAGCACCCTGTGTGCACCCAGGGCCTTGCACAAGCAGGGGGGCTGCTCCCTGCACGCACCCCACCCACCCCCAAGCTGTGGGGCCTCCTGAGCATGTAGCCAGGCAGCACAAGAGGTCTCGGTGCCCCAGGGCTGAGTGGGGACAGGGGCAGGGGTGGGGGCCGTGCCCCAGCTGTGCCGTGGGGAAGGGCTGTGCTGCAGATGCAGCCCCTGAGCACTGCCCCCCCAGAAGGTGGTGTTCCCCAGCTCCAGGCTGGGACAGAGGGTCCCCAGGGGTCAGGGGTGGCACCACAGGAGGTTGTGCCCTGAAGGAAGTCCCCGAGTGGTCCTGTCGGGGACAAGGATGAGAGTCGGAATGGGACAGAAACGCCTGGACAGCAATGAGAGGGCACAGGAGGCTGAGGGGAGACCTCATTGCCCTCTACAACTCCCTGAAAGGAGGTTGTAGAGAGGCAGGTGTTGGCCTCTTCTCCCAAAGGACGAACGACAAGACCAGAGGAAATGGTCTGAAGTTGGGGCAGGGGAGATTTAGATTAGATATTAGAAAGAATGACTTTACTGAGAGAGTGGTCAGGCACTGGAACAGCCTGCCCAGGGAGGTGGTGGAGTCACCATCCCTGGAGGTATTTAAGAAACGTATAGACATGGCTCTTCAGGGCATGCTCTAGTGCCCAAGGTTATTGGTTTATGGTGAGGTGTTGAGTGTGGGGTTTAGTTGGTGGGTGCGGTGTTTTTGGTGGGCGTTTGGTGTGGTGTGTTTTGTATTTGTTTGGTGGGTTTTTTTGTTTTTTTTTTTGTGGTTGGACTCGATGATCTCAGAGGTCCCTTCCAACCACTAAGATTCTGTGATTTATATACTGAGATCACATAAGATGCAGTAAAATATATATATAAGTCCCTAAAATATATGCTTTTTAAATGGAGATCATTGAACTATTTCCAACCAAAACTTCCAAAAGAAGGTAACATGCAACTTTAAGATGAGGCAATATTGGGGCACAAATTTTCATGCTAAAATAACAAAAAAAAAAAAAAAAATCAGAATTTACAAGGGGTGATGCCTGCCCTTTTGGTTTTTGGTGCATTGGGTTTTTTTAAACACATTTCGTATTTGAAACACAGCACTGGCTGTATTTGTGCTTTACTCCCTGATCACATGCAGCAGTCTCTCGGGGGGAATTAATCTCATCTAACTCCAGATGTCCACAGTGTAGGTGTCCCCACTACTCTGGGGCAACCTCCAAGCTCCAGTCACAGCCAAGAGATGTTTGGGCAAAACAAGGCAGTGGCTTTTGGTGTGATTCATAACACCAAAGGCCAGGGCTGCTCTTGGCTCTGGCCCATCCCGCTCTTTAGGCTCTCCAGACCTCACACGCTCGCTCTCCTTCTCCTGTGAAGAGAGGTGAAGTCACCTGCACTTAATGGACATGATCCCTCCATGGGACGATTCCCACCAATAAAGTAACGTGGTGCTTTTCCCTACAGGCAGCCAGCCCTCAGGGGAGGTGAATTTTTCTGTCATTGCAGGCTAGGAGCAAACAAGGAAGAACATGAGTTCACAGAGGAAGCAACACAAAAATCTCAGAAGAAAATGAGAGCAAGGACAAATTGCATCTCTCAGCCATGCTCTCCACCAAGTGGCATTATCTGTCATCACACACTCTACCCAGCTCCTTGCCACAGGAATGCAAGACAGAATCACATGGGGTTGGAAGGGACCTCTGGAGATCATCTAGTCTGACCCCTCTGCCAGAGCAGGTCCACCCAGAGCAGGTTGCATAGGAACATGTCCAGGCGGGTTTTGAATGTCTCCAGAGATGGAGACTCCACAACCTCCCTGGGCAGCCTGTTGAAACGTGCTCAGAAGAATGAGAACAAACACTGCAGGTTTTCTCTTTCTTATAGGAGACCCCATCTTACTGGCCAAGCTGCCAGGATTTGCAAGCTTTCACAGACTTCCAGAGCACATCTCCCTGATGGCTCCAGTTCTCCTTGGTGATGCTGCACTATAAAATCTGATGCTGGCAGTTCCTACACCAAGACCTCCAACATCTGGAGTCAAAGCATGACGCTGCTGATACTAATAAACCATCAGCACACCACCACTAGCTCGAGCATCCAGGAAATACAAAGGAGAGCAGAAGCAACCTGGAACTTCAGCTCGTCTTCAGGCTGCCTGAAAAAGCAAACCACAGCCATGGCTCAACATCTTATTTTGGAAAAAAAAAAAAAAAAAAATCGTGAAATGTATATTGCATAAAATGTTAGCAGCCATCAGCAAAAAGAGGACTGACTACTAACCGGGCAGGTGATCATTTCGATGTTTCAAAATAGGGCGACTTCTCTAGAGGAAAATCTTTGTCAAGACAAGTTTCCACATGACTTCTGCTAATAACTAAGACCGAGGCAGAGATCAGGCATGGAAAAGTGTTCTCTTTGAGCCCAGCTAACACCACATAATCCACCTCCCCAACAGCACTCGCTCTGCGCAACAGCTCTGCACCTCTGTTAACCTCAGCTCTGGTCCCTCGCCCACCAGTCACAAAGCCATGGCTGGCACTGGGAGCTTTCCTACAGCTCTGCAGATGGCTGGGGTCTCTCTCCCTGAACTGATGGGGGGACAGGAGGGAGAGAAAAATGGAAGAGTGAAAAACCTCTCAACTGGGGAAGGAAGGCAGCAGGCCTCTCGTGCAAACAGCTTGCCTTTAATTCAATCAACAGAAGTGAGGAACAGGCTCAGGCTGATGACAATCTTTCCCTTGATTTCACTGAACCAAACCCCAGGAGTCCGAGCGCACTCAGACCAGATGTCATGGTTTAGATTTACAGAGAAGGAATCCAGGAAAAAAAAAAGGCAAACACTGCATTATATAACTGTTCTGTGATACAACCGAAACATCCCGTCCTGCTCATGGCTGCTGGTGCTGACAAAAAAACACCAGGAGGAAGATTAAAGAGGCAACCAATCACCTTGTCTGCCCTCAGGTAAGTGTTACCAAAAAGTACAAAGCAGCTCAGCATCTGCTGTGGGAAGGGCAGCCAGAGAAAAATGTACCATTATACTCCTAACTAATGCTTGCATGTAAATGAATTCTCCAAGCATAAGCAAGCGGCAAAGCTTCTCAAGTGGCCTTAAGGTAACATCCTGGACCATCTACTGGATCCTGCAAGTACATTTTGATTTTTTTTTTCCACTGTGCCGTGTCCACTTCAACAAAACAGCATGCTCTCAACTGCAAAATTTCACAGCCAGTTTGTAATGTGCAATTAAAGACCACTTAACATTTATTTCTACACTTTTATTCTGAAATACGGCCTGCACCTCCCTGAAAATAGAGGGACAACGTGATCACCGTGACACTCGTAAAAACTCACTATTCTTTGCAACTTTCAAAAAAATATTAGAGGCAACTTCTCCCAACATTAAAAAGAATGCCCTTCTTCAAAATCACTGCTTTCTGATTTAGTCCTACAAAACAACTCGCTTTTCCTCTCCTGTTATTAAAGCCTAAACTCCGTTCATCCCACCTTCGGAGGGGCGCCGGAGGCTTGGAAACTCCCAAATTCCTACAGCCCGCTCCCACCGGGGGATCTCCGCAGGGACCTGGGCCCCCCTCGCTGCCGTGGGGACGGGGCTGCTCTACCCCAAGGGCTCGGGGTCCTTCCTCAAGCCCCCGGGCTCACACGGCGGGGAGAACCCAGCAGGAACCCGCGCTGCTCCCGGTGTCACCCAGCCCGGTGGCGGCCGCAGGCGGTGGCTTGTCCCCCGGGCGGATCCCGGGGCGGGACTCTGCGGCTATTAAAGGGGACTCCGCGGCTTCCCGGTGGCTTTCCCGTCTGGGGCCATGGCGACCTACGTGCAGCTGAACACCGCGGCCAAGATGCCCCTCCTGGGGCTGGGCACATGGAAGGTAACGGAGATGTCGGCGCTGACCCCGGGCAGGGGGCGGCCGCCTCGGGCGGGATCCGAACCCGGGGCCGCTGCCGCCTCCTCCGGGCACCGGCTGGGGTGGGGG